TTCTGATGTGTTTTTTATAGTTTGTAATACCTCTTCTTTTAAATATCTTCGCATTTATGGGTCTGCGAGTCTGGAGGGCTACGACGGCCTCATAAAAGATCCGTGTTAAACAATTCCTTCCTTGTATTTTTTCAGTGCACTTCTCTATGTTACAAGTATTTTTATCAAACTTTCACACGTGACGGCGAGCCCATTAAAGTAAATAAAGGTTTAATACTTATCGCTATCATAACAAAGTCAAGTATCAGTAAATACTTTGAAATAAATTCAGTCTATTGTCACAGTTACTTTTATATGTTTATTGTCTAAAACAAAGCTCCAAAAAACACAAAAAGCAAAATGTGAATCATCATAATATTATTGTCTTGAAAGAGTTATGCAGATATTTTACTAACTAGAAAGCCTGGAATTAAAGAAGCAAACACATATAACCGATCGACTTGGCGACGGTTGCCCAAGTCAGATATGCAATGCAGAAGCCTGCATACGACAAAAGAAATATTCAGTCGGTTACTTTCCATCATTATGATGAATAGTCCACTGCTGGACATCGGCCTGTCCCTGAAAGGGAGGATTTGGTGTATCACACGCTGGCCAGACGGGTTGGTAGGTATAGGGTTTTTGTCAAGTAATCCTTCTCTTTGCAGTGATGTTGTCATGCGGAGTTTGCTCCTTTAGTCGGCTCTTGCGACACACGCGGGATGAATAGGGGTGGTGACACTCCGTATTCCTAATCTGTCACCACACAGATAACGATCAGATATCATACGCGACACCTTAAACCCTTAGCAAGCAATCGACATTAAAATTTATCAATTTCTATGTCACATTGTTTATTAATATGTGTTGGAGGAAGATACATATAGGTTTACTTATGTACAACTTTGACACGGAGTTTTTTTTGGACATTTTCATAGATAGCATATTCAGAGCTCATGCTGCTCGTAGGACTACTGCTGTCTCATCATCTCTTACCATGCCTCCTTCGCCCTTTTCCATACCCTAATTTACCAACTCTCTGTATGCAAACGATGTCATACCCAAGAAGAGTTTAGGTCATAAAGGCCATCAAAGAATCCAGTCAAAGCCCTATTGCACTGTTACCTATTTTTCCGACCTCCTAAGAAATTAGGAAAAAATAATCATCGTAAATTGTAAGTAGGTAAAGCGGAAACGATTTATTGGACGTAGTTACCTTTGATAACAATTATAGACAGACAAATAATAAATATTGTCAAGAATTTATTACTTAACCGCTCACCATACTTACTAGTAAGTATATCTAGTTTACAATGTCATCTTTATCAACAATGACCAAGCAGACAAGTGATGAGTGCTTAACAACCAATTGAAGACTTAAAAGTGGAATTATCTATAGTCTCGAGATGATTAGAAACCTCAAGTATTGATATAGTGATATGCCAAATCATTTAAAGGGCCTAGTGTAAGCTTATTTTATTTCTACTCGATCATCAAGTTGACCGCGTTTGGCGCTGTTTGGTGTAGAGTTCAGCGCGGTCCAATCGCAAAACCGAACGCGCACACTGTGACCATCAAATAGATGTAAAATAAACTCGCACGACGAATTCTAAATTACTAATAGACATACTAGCATGTGCTATCGAATAGTAGAAACAGCCAATTTGTAACTTCCCAGAGTGGGTACCCCTCGCAGTAGTGGAACTGTCTTTGCAAAGCTACAACAGCCACATCGCTATTCTTGCCTTGCAGCAGGCCGTGGCGACCCTCGACTTCACTGGGAAGTTTAACCGAAAAAAAGAAAAGACAGAATTACAGTTTGAACTGGATTTTCAACAAATAAGTAAATTGGGAGAAACGCGTAAGAAGCAATATTAGATCTGAATGAGAACAGATTATTCTTGTTCCTACAACTTTTTAAAAATAAACGCGTCGGTTTGCGGTATTGTGATTCACATCATAGAAATTCAGAGATTTTGTTAACCTTTTATTATGAAAGTTGCAAGGTAAGGTCGTCTTTTCTTGGTATCGCCAGAAATATCTCGGCATGCGAACGTAGATCAGACGGGCAAACCGTCCGGATAATGTAAACAGACAAATACAAATTATTGCTGAACAAAGAGATCTTGTTAATTTCTCTTTTTTGCGCTATTTAAAATTCTGTTTGCCTCAATATTATAAGGGCTATTTGTCTGTTTGTTTGCGTATGAGGTAAAAGTTATTGGACCGAGTAATGTGTCTGAATGAGTAGTAAAACATGTCCTTGAGAATGGAAGCCTGCGACAAAAAATATTCAGTCGGTTACTGTTCATCATTATCATCAACAGCTTTTAATAGTCCACTGCTGGACATAGGTTTCTCCTTAGAGAGGAGGTTTTGGCCTACTATACCACGCTGGCCAGACGGGTTGGTATAGGGTTCGTTTCAAGTTTTCCTTCTCTTCCCCACATCGTATCACTGTAAGATATTGTATATTAGACACCCTGTTTTATTATTTTGTCCTTTTCTGTTTTTCTAGATTTTGCTCCCTTTCAGCTGTGAAACAAAAATTTAAGTAAAGACTGTAATTTTTGTTTTGATCATCCTACATTAGGTGCAATAATATTAAGTGTTACGTTTTTAACATACGAGGGGTGATCAATAAGTAATGATAATCAATATGAAACAGAACTATTAGATTAAAAAAAGTATTTTATTTTTCAACATAGTCTCCTTGCAAGTTAATACATTTAGTGTATCTTTTTTCTAAGCCCATGATTCCCTTAGAAAAAAATTCTTTGTCTTGACCCTCCCAAAATGCCTCTACTGCGGCCATCACTTCACTATTGTCCTCAAATTTGTTGCCCCGGAGGTGTTCTTTGAGCCGAGGAAAGAGGTAGAAGTCACTGGGAGCTAGATCTGGCGAATAGGGAGGGTGTTCGAGCAGTTCGAACCCCGTTTCTTCAATGGCAGCCATCGCAACTGCGGCTTTGTGAGCCGGGGCGTTGTCTTGGTGAAACAGCACTCCAGCGCGCAGTTTACCGCGTCTTTTTGACTTAATGGCTTCTCGCAATCTTCTTATTTGGCCTGCGTAGTAAGAGCCTGTTATAGTGGCCCCCTTTTCCAAATATTCCACCATAATAATTCCTTCTGCATCCCAGAAAACAGACGCCATAACCTTTCCCGCTGAACTTGACACTTTGAATTTCTTCGGCGTTGGTGAGGAAGCTCGTTTCCAACTCATTGATTGTTGTTTGGTTTCGGGATCAAAGTGGTGGATCCAGGTCTCGTCCATGGTCACAATACGCGACAAAAAAATTCTTTATCGGCCTGGAACTTTTGAAGATTCACCCTCGAAATGTCGACTCGTTTCTTTTTTTGCTCGTCGGTTAACATTCTCGGTACCCAACGCGCAGAGACCTTTTTCATATGCATTTTGTTGACAATGATTTTTTGAACGCTGCCATAGGAGATCCCTGTGACCTCAGCTACATGCCTTACGGTCACCCTTCGATCGGCCAACACGATATCTTCCACTTTTTTGACGTTTTCTCCAGTAAGGGACGTGGAAGGGCGTCCCTCGCGATGTTCATCTTCAGTGGAGGTTCTGCCCAGCTTAAATTCCTTTGCCCAGCGTGCGACTGTGGAATATGGAGGAGCAGACTCCCCCAATGTTTCCTCTAAGTCGCTGTGTATGTCTTTGGTAGACATTTTTTTCAGGCAGAGGTACTTGATGACAGCTCTTATTTCATTTTTCTCCATTTTGATGTTTTCTCTTCGACAGTTCGTATTCAAATGAATGTATCTCCCGGTAATGGTGTCCTATTTATACATTTTTTTGAAGCTGAAGTAGTGGATATATAAGCAAGCAGAAAAAAAATAATTTGGGTTTTTGTGCGTTCTAGAAATACTCGATTATCATTACTTATTGATCACCCCTCGTATGGATTCTAACTTAATATATTTATACGTTTTTAATATATATATTTTTTTTTAAAGAAAAACTTATAGCTTGCTTAATAAACTAGTGTATTGCTAATTTTCAAAGGAGGAAGACATTTTATGTCTACTTTAATAAAAGTACGAGAAACAGTAAACAAACTATATATACAATTATCCTCAAGCGACCATAAAACAGACGATTTTCTTTGTATAATTCAGGACAAAGTTTATTGTTTTAAATAATCTTCAATTGTTGAGCTTCCACCTTTTGTAACTGGGTTGACGTCAATGGTGAATGTGAAGCGAATCCAATATTTAATGAAGATGTGTTTTAAAAGAAAGATAAATGAATATATTTCACAGCATTATGCTGCCAAATAATCTTACGGAAACGGTTTATAAATGACTGCAGTTGAAACAGCGCTGGTGCGTTTATCAAAACCCTTAATCTTATTAAACTAAACCAAGGCTACTCCAGAAGGGGAGATCTTGGGAGACGGACACAAAGACTGTTCTTATTAGTGTTTCCACCTTTAGCCAATTTGCAACAGAACGATATTCATCGACATTGGAGCTAATTCTGTTCGAAAACTCTCTAAACTAAACTAAAAATCGCCAAATAAAAATTTGTCCTGTCAAATATTACGTTTTCTGAATAGGAAACGTTGTTTGACAGAACTAAACAAATTTTTAGTGATTTTTAGTTTAGTTTAGAGATTTATCGAACAACAGAATTGGCACCAATTAATTTAAGTCCCATAAACATTGTGGTATACGCCTTTTTTATATATTATTTTATTAAAGATACGATATCTATGGGATATAATCCGGATTTCCATATAAAGTTTCTATTTTCATATTTCCATATCTTTTAGCTACGGCTGTCGAGATGTCAATGACGCGAGACTCAACAATCCGTGATAACAAAACTGATAAAGGCGGATAATTAAAACACCTACATATTGTTCCACGCTCGTCTCAGTAGCCGCGGAGCTCTCGTGGAGAACACTCGTGTTTAAGTACAAAAAACGCAAATTATATCCATCTTTTATTCAAGTACTCGTGCTATTTTCGTTCAGTATCTTTGTGTGTGTCTTGAGATGCCTACAGAAGCTTGTGAAAGATTTATGATGAAACTCAAAAAGATTGTAAGTTTTAAATTTATATTTTAAAATACAGTTTTTTATTACGTCGTTAGGAATGTTGATATCGTGGATAAAGTTCAATACGATTTTATTCCATGGGGATTAAATGCAAATATCAAAAGGTCATATCTCGTATCAAACACTAAAGTGTGAATTATGGCAGTGTAAAGAAAAGCAAGTTTACAATGCAGCTTGTATAATGTATACGGTTAGAGATAAACCTGTAATAACATCCCGATGTTGCAAGTAGAAAAATAATATAATGATTTATTTATTGATTTAAATATGTTTTTTTTTAATAAAAATATTTAAGGAAACCAATTTTTTTTAATAATTTTATGTTTTACCGCACGTAAAACTATATGCTGAAATACTTATTTCTGAATTTTCAGAAGGAATTAAAAAAAATTTGGTTTTTGAAATACGCGTTTTTTTTTATTCTTAAAAAATTAAGTAGTGTTATTGCTTTTATTGTTTTTTTCTGATGAAATGAGACCGCCTAGTTCTAGGTTCGGCACTTACGATTGCTTACGTTTGTAATTAAGTACATTTATGTAGATAAAGTTCACGTCAAATTACTTATTAATTTTGACATACCGTTCTGTGAGATATCTAGTCTACTGTTGAAGTCGAATTACTACTAATGTTTAATAACAAGCGTTCGTGTATTGATTTTACATAAAGTGTACGTATTCTCAACAGTTTTCAGAAATGGAATACCTTTGTTCTCGCATGCTTTGCTAATCGATCTAGTAATTTAATATTAGCAGAATAACAATAACCCTGTATTGTACTACTGTATTGTAATAACAATAGAAAACCTTTTTTAAATGTAATAAATTATGGTCGAATTTTGACCAGCAGACGGTATGTGGTATCAGTAAAACACATGCGCTACTAGAGAGCTTAGCCTACAAGTTCCCACTTTGACTGACTCAGTCAGTGATCCATTTACATCTAGGAAATAAATAAGGTGGTGAATCTTCTGTGCATTTTTGTATTATATTGAGGTTATTGAGTCTGGCTTATAGATAATAACAGCATGATAAGAAATTAAGTGTGAAACAGTCATGGAGTGTAAATCTTCGAAGGCATAAAGATTGTTAATTGATAAGCGGCGGTCTTGTGATATATTTTGCGGGTTCGAACCCCAAGTAGTACACAACACAAGCAGCCTCTAGTCGGAAGGTTAACGACCCACGTTGTATTCCTAAAATGAGTAAAAAAGCCTATTATTGACAATACTCGACCGCGTGACTTTTGTTGTTCCTCTGTCATTTAATTACCTTAGGACTACAAACGTGCCAAATAAATATACATACATACATAAACTCGAAAAGCATAATTCTCTTTATAGCGCAGTCGGGTAAAAAACTAAACAAGTCTTCTAATATTGATGTTATTATATAGAAGCATATGGTGCCTGTAATCCATTGAATCTGTTGTATTAATAATGACGTCAACGGCTCGTAGTGTTATTATATTAACTATAAAAAGTTCAATTTCTAGCTTATATCAAGTGTTAGAGCACTTAAATACTCGTTAGAGTTCGGTCCTAAACAAAAAACAACTTTTAAGATTACACATCATCACATCACATCAACAGCCTATAATAGTCCACTGCTGGACAGAGGCCTCTCCTTAGAAAGGAGGTTTTGGCCTACTATATCATGCTGATATAGTTTTCCTTCTCTTTGCAGTGTTGTCTTGCGTAGTTTTCTCCCCTAGTCGACTTTTACGACACCCACGGAATGAATAGGGTTAGTGACATTACGTATTCTTAATCCGTCACCACACGGAGTTAAAGTGTTCAAAGATGTTAAATTGCTGGATAACAAAAACAAAAAAAGGTGATAACTATTTGCCATAAAAAAGAGCTGTATTTTATACCTATAAAGACTTTTACTTCACCTTACTGAGATGTGTAATTAATCAGATTCAAATGAAGTCTGTGAACGCTGTTTATCAGCTACCTCTATGTTCTAAATATAATAAGATAATATTTTTCGGACATTTAACACACGAACGCCATTTAATTTCAAACTAAGCGGAGATTGTACTATAAAAGCTAGATTGACTGATACTTACATACTTTTTTTATAAATACATACATATTATACATAGAAAACACCCAAACTCCGACACAAATATTTGCAGATCGTGCAGAGCAATACCTCAGCACAGCATTCGCTACCACTGCACCGAGGCAGTCCATCAAAACGGCTGGACCGACTTTGATAATATGTTACTACACTATGAATGAAGTCGCGGGCATCAGCAAGTAAATAATAAATAACAACATCCTTTTTTTAGATAAATACATGATTGAACTGGTCTGACGTCTGTAATACGTTAAGTTGCGCTATTAAAAGTAGTTTCATTACAATTATCTGACTTTAATTCGGTATTAAAATGACCGGATACCGGTCAAATTATAGCCTTACATTTATGTAAAGTCAAGTTTTTATCTTATATTATTGTTTTCATTTTTGTAAGGTTTTAGTGCTTAAGAGCAGAGTGGATAGATGGTGTAATCTTCGTTGATATATTGTCCGGTTAATGAGAAATATTAGCTCGCTACAATAAACTTTGTATTCTTACTTAAACTGCTGGACAGAGGCCTCTCCTTAGGAAGGAGGTGTTTGCCTTCTATACTACTCTAGCCAGACGGGTTGGTATAGGGTTTGTTTCAAGTTTTCCTTCGCTTTGCAGTGCTGTTGTCCTGCTCTTTTATTTGGCTCTTACGACACCCATGGGAGGAATAGGGGTGGTGACACTCCTTATTCTTTACCTGTCATCACACGGACAGTTACTATACCTAATTTGGTAAATTGTCCTTCAATTAAAGTCGATTTTAGTTATCCGGAGCATGGCATATTAAACTAGATTTAATATAAATGACAGCAAGTATGAAAATGTTTAAATTTGCAATTTATTGTTTGGGGTTTCTTTTAAATGATTTGTTGCCAAGTCAAGACCAAATCCGATCCTCCTTGTAAAGATGATGACATGATATTGAGGCTATATCTCAAAAGAGGCCTGTATTTCCATCATGGGATAGGAGATAAGTCACAAGGACAGGAACATCAAGTAGCCATTTAACTGGTAATAATGTATAATTCCTTAAAAGACGCATTAAAATATCTTAACACAAAACACAAAGACGAACATTCAAAAGCATGGCTAATACATTTTCAAAATTCATATTGTCTTGTCATATACAGATTATACAAGGCTTACGGTTCATTTATTTTTTATACTTTCAATTGAAGTTACAAGTACAAAATACCATTTGATCGATTAAAGCCCTTTAAAAAACTCAATACATGCTCGTATTTGAGAAACATATAAAAATCAGTCAAAAAGAAAAGTTTCTAGAACAGTAGAAAATAGAGGTCGTCAAAGATCCTTGATATTAATAAATTCTCGGACCAATCGAGAAAACAACTAAACATGTTACATATTTAGTGTTTATAGCGAGTGCCACTATTGCAAACATACATACATTATAATAATATAATCTAATGTATAAGACTTAGGTGTTGTTTTGGAACGATTCAGCCAATATCTATATGCCCTACTTCAGTCGCTTTACTTTGAAACTGATTTCCTTATCCCTGTAATATTTACGTATAGGATTTCCTGTCTAATAAACATAATACCTCAAAGATTTAAGAAAATTATTGAATATCCTCCTATATTTTCCTGTTCGTGTATTATTACATTAACTGTTTATTACTCTTTTAAATAAGTAGTCCTATTCTTCTGACTACTACGGTTATCTAGTAATCACTACTTAAAATAACTTTAGAGTTGTCTGTATATTGGAGCCGATACTTTTCGTATAGTGCCGGATTAAGAATAAAGAGTATCACGGTGTGATGAATATTCATCCCACGACTGCCGTAAGAGCCGACTAAGGGAGCAAACTTCGCAGGACAACAGCACTTACGGCGAGCGCGTTGCAAAGAGCGCTCGCTTCCAGGGAGCAAAGGGAACATGGGATTCCCACACGGGGGGGGGGGGTCGTCTACTCGTCTGTAGGTGACCCGAGGTATGTCGGGGCACCAGGGACTTCCTTTCTAGGGTATACCTGGTTCACCGGCTATTAGTACCCGATACGGCGTGCGGTTTTAGTCGGTTCGAGTTCGACATGCCACCGACAGGTGGTATCCGAGGGGATTTCTGGGACAACAGCACTGCAAAGACACGGAAACAAACCCTAAACCAAACTGTCTGGCCAGCATGGTATAGTAGATCAAAACCTCCTTTCTAATCAGAGGCCTATGTACCGCAGTGGAGTGCAGAAAGGCTGTTGATGATATGATGATGATGGCTGGGTAGAATCCTGTAACACAGTCAATATAACTGTAATTCAATGGAAACTCAATAACAATATACTCGTAAATATTTCACCAATTTTCCTAGTTTTACAAAATGCGGCCATTCAACGAATTCACTTGAACCACAAACATTAAAAATGACTATGATTTGAATAGGTATTGTTATGTTCTTAGAAACAAATAGTGTGTTGAATGTACTTAAAGTTATGTAATTCGTGTTTATTTTTGGTATAATACAAATGATGTTATTTTATCTCACTAATAACGTATAAATAAATATATTGAAATGGAACGCGCATTTCGATACCAATGAAAAGGAAATGTAATCATCAATCATCTTCTTTTGTACGCAGTTTAAACAGTTTTATTAAAGAATTCTAGCTATACATGACTTTTTTAACCGACTTCATAAAGGAAGAGGTTATGAATCCGACAGAATTATTTGTTCTTGTATATTACGCTAAATGCTAGCCCTGTGTAAACTGATTTTAATAGTACTTTATTTAAACTGAATTGGTTTTATTCACATTTTATTCTGTTTTTTTTTTCAATGTTGGAAAATTAAGGAACGAAAAAAAAGCAAATAACGACTAATTGAAAAAACTACGCACAACAACAGAACTGCAGAGAGAAGGAAAACTTGACACAAACCCCATACCA